ATGGCATGATAATACTAATAATAATGATAATATCAAAATACAAATGAAAAATAGCTTTTGTTTTCTCATTCTATTTTTCTTTTTGTTTTGTTTTGTTCTCAATAGACTCACAAACATGTCCATGTTATTTTTCTTTTTTGTTCAGCATTTCAGTTGCTAATTCCTAATCAATTACAGCCAAGAATGATAACAGAAATGAAAAATAATGTTATAAAATAACAAATAGTACCTGCTATGGAAACATACAGACCAACAAACATTGAATGCTACCATGCATTAAAGCATTAATCATCAGTGAATATACATTACTCTCTAAGGTGTACCTAAGCATCTTTGAAAAGCAAAGAAGAGTTGCTCTCAGCATCTTAACTTTTTCCAATTAAGCCAAACAGATTCCCTTATGAACAAACTGCTGTTAAACATAAACAACATATTTCCATATGATATCAAAATATCCAAAACAACATTCCTAAAACTCTTTCAATCTTACTGGCGTCAGTCCAGGAGATGAGGGTCTCGAGTTGGTGGTACCTGTCAGCGTTTTCTTTGGTGTGTTCAGGCCGGTCGTGGTTCCCGAGGCCAAGTCCCTTCTGGGATACTGGATCTTCCTCGTATCCAGTCTGTCTTCATCCACCCACTCATCAAGCCGTTTGTTATCTGTGAGGATGTGTAGACTACTTAGTGAAAACAATACTCTGCACATATGAATGATAATTATCCTGCATATCACTGAGAAAACTTACAATTAAATAGTTAAACCACATTTTTTATGTTCAATGAAGTTTACAGAACTACCTGAAAATTATTGTGACCCTATATAACTTCAAAGGGTATTGCAAACAGTGCTAGCTTATACCTTTCAACATTCAAAGAAGATCCTCTTTCACTAACAAAATGCAACACATCTATATAATTTAGGATACTATTACAAAGCAAAGACACAGTCCTTCCACTAAGATCTTTCAAATATGTCCATACAGCCCAAAAAGTTTGCAACCACCTTACTATATGCTTTTTGGCATTGAACTGGGAAAAGCGTGAGCAGGAAAAATTAGTACATAAAACATTGAACAGAGCAGAATGAAATGAACAGTTCAAAGGAAAACAATTACAACAGTGACTTGTCCTACATCAAATGTTACCTGCTCATGATAGAAAAAATAGTAGTCAGATGGCTGTATACTCCTGCAGCTGAGTGTATCTCTAATCAGAATTTCACCAATTCTCTCATATGATGTAATTGAGAAAACAACAAGTAAATTAACTGACATACTTACAATCAATGTAATGAACATAGAACTGTTTTTTTGTTTCACAGTCCTTGATGCTGATGACCTCTGCCAACGCTGAAAGGAGAACAAATTCAATGTAACTATTAATACCTTTAATCTCATGTCACTTAATTTTTTAAAGGTAAGCTACAAAAAAAGATACATTATCAATAATGCTACTTTCAATATTTTGCCACTGTGTGAAGAGCAAAAAGTTCACATGGATCCTGAGTCAATACGTGTTCGCCCAAATATACATTATCAATAATGCTACTTTCAATATTTTGCCACTGTGTGAAGAGCAAAAAGTTCACATGGATCCTGAGTCAATACCCTTCTAAAATTTTGTCTCTAGTCTTTTGTTGATCCTTTTGGAACATCTACCTCTAGCATGCATTAAACTTCAAAAGCCATGCAATCTTTATTTTTTATTCTTTACCAATTACATTGTCTACAAATCTTTGCATAATCCACATTGAATACTTCTCTTAATCACATACTCAGAGTCAGTTCTGATTGTGTTAGCAAGAATTCTTTTAAGCATCTAAGCTACTGATTACAGCAAGTAATCCTTAACCTGTCCTTGTCACCTTTAGATACACATTATTATGCTATCCAGAGAGAGATAGAATTGCTCCCTCTATAACAAAATAACAGGAGACAGACACTGCCTATGATGCGCAGTTAGCAATGGCTGGTGGGTAAGAGAGCAATAGGAGTTTAAGAACCAGTCTTCAGGAGTATTGAATAGTGAGAGAGAGCTGGAGGTGAAAGAGAGTAATTCTACAGGTTGAAAATAGGGAGTAGTGAGACAGAGACAGAGACAGTGAGAGAGAGATAGAGAGAGAGAGAGAGAGAGAGAGAGACAGAGAGAGGAGGAGAGGGAGAGAGAGGGAGGGAGGGAGGGATGAGAAGAGAGAGAGAGAGAGAGAGACAGAGTATGCCATTTGCCAAAGATCTAATTAGAATATTACTTAGAGAATTTAGCCATACATGCACAAAAGCATAAGATTTCCTTGCACCTTTTTCATTTTTTTCAAGTATCAATTACAAATTTCAGGCATAATGCTATATCATATTGGTCAAAGGTTCATGGCCTTAGTTTATGAAAGAAAGTACATAAAACAAAATGTGTGAGGAAAAATAATGTACATGAAAACTTTGGAGTACCATGTGTATATTGAAAGAGAGGGAGATAAAATGAGAGGATGAAAGGGAGAAGGAAGAGGAAGGAAGGATGAGGAAGAGGGAAGAAGAGGGAGGGGGGAGGGGGGAGGGGGAGGGAAGGAGGGAGGGAGGGAGAGGGAGAGAAAGAGAGAAAGAGAGAAAGAGAGAAAGAAGAGAAAGAGAGAAAGAGAGAGAGAGAGAGAGAGAGAGAGAGAGAGAGAGAGAGAGAGAGAGAGAGAAGAGAGAGAGAGAGAGAGAGAGAGAGAGAGAGAGAGAGAGAGAGAGAAAGAAAAGAGAAAGAGAGAAAGAAAGAAAAGAAAGAAAGAGAGAGAGGAGAGAAAGAGAGAAAGAGAGAGAGAGAGAGAGAGAGAGAGAGAGAGAGAGAGAGAGAGAGAGAGAGAGAGAGAGAGAGAGAGAGAGAGAGAGAGAGAGAGAGAGAGAGAGAGAGAGAGAGAGAAGAGAGAAAGAGAAAGAGAGAGAGAGAGAGAGAGAGAAAGAGAGAGAGAGAGAGAGAGAGAGAGAGAGAGAGAGAGAGAGAGAGAGAGAGAGAGAGAGAGAGAGAGAGAGAGAGAGAGAGAGAGAGAGAGAGAGGAGAGAGAGGAGAGAGAGAGAGAGAGAGAGAGAGAGAAGAGAGAGAGAGAGAGAGAGAGAGAGAGAGAGAGAGAGAGAGAGAGCGAGAGAGAGAGAGAGAGAGAGAGAGAGAAGAGAGAGAGAGAGCGAGAGAGAGAGAGAGAGAGAGAGAGAGAGAGAGAGAAGAGAGAGAGAGAGAGAGAGAGAGAGAGAGAGAGAGAGAGAGAGAGAGAGAGAGAGAGAGAGAGAGAGAGAGAGAGAGAGAGAGAGAGAGAGAGAGAGAGAGAGAGAGAGAGAGAGAGAGAGAGAGAGAGAGAGAGAGAGAGAGAGAGAGAGAGAGAGAGAGACAGAGAGAGAGAGAGAGAGAGAGAGAGAGAGACAGAGAGACAGAGACAGAGAGAGACGAGAGAGACAGAGACAGAGACAGAGAGACAGGACAGAGAGACAGAGAGACAGAGAGACAGACAGAGACAGAGAGACAGAGACAGAGACAGAGAGACAGAGACAGAGAGAGAGACAGAGACAGAGAGACAGAGACGAGACAAGAGAGACAAAGAGACAGAGAGACAGAGACAAAGACAGAGAGACAGAGAGACAAAGACAGAGAGACAGAGAGACAGAGACAAGACAGAGACGAGAGACAGAGAGAGAGAGAGAGACAGAGACTGAGACAGAGACAGAGACTGAGACAGAGAAGACTGAGACAGACAGAGACTGAGACTGAGACAGAGAGACTGAGACAGAGAGAGAGAGAGGGAGAGACAGAGAGAGGAGGAGGGAGAGAGGATTAGGGAGGGAGGGAGAGAGAGAGAGGGAGAGAGAGAGAGGGAGAGAGAGAGAGGGAGAGGGAGAGGGAGAGAGAGAGAGAGAGAGAGAGAGAGAGAGGGAGAGAGAGAGAGAGAGAGAGTATGCCATCTGCCAAAGATCTAATTAGAATATTACTTAGAGAATTTAGCCATACATGCACAAAAGCATAAGATTTCCTTGGTAAAATACTAAAGTAACAAGCAAAAAAACAGAATAGGGGAGGGAAAGCATGATAAATTAGAGTAAATTTTAAAGATGGCTGTGAATTCTAAACAAAAATGATGACCAGGAAAAAAAAATTGAAAGCAAGGCCTGAACAGACAGGAGGGTTATTGTATTACGATGCCTGTGCTTGACAGCCTGAAACAACCATATGCTGTATATGTTTTCTGTTGTTTCTGGTTGGCTGGCATCAAGGAATACACTCCCTGACACATTTTGAAGATAGCATTAGGCAAAAAAAAGATAAGAGCTGAAAATACAACCCTTAGGGAAAATAGAAAGCTTTTATAGTAATAGTGCAAAACAAGGATTAACATATATCTTTTCTATAATTATCAATTATCAAGATAAAAAAAAAAAACCAAATGATGAGCAATACATACAATTTTACAATGAAGTCATCAAAATAACATAATGGAAAATTGTGCTAGTCCACAACTATTCAAACTTAATAGGAAAACCCATAATATAAAAAGCTTTATGAAATTTCTGTTATCTCAGGCACTACTGCCTCATTTGACCTTACTAGCAACTTTTATTGTTTTATGGAATTTTACCTAATGCGTTAATGCTGTGTTAAAAAGAAGTTAATATTTGACATGCACTTCATGATGCGAGTCATAGAAGCTACACATACAAAAGGGATCAAAAGACTTAAGAGCTATGTATCACAGATTTCTGTCTTTCAGTTTTCAAAACCTGAAAAACAAGGGAGCTAATTCAGCTCATTAGCAATCACTTAATAAGTTTCTAATTATGGCAAAAATCTTGTTAAATTTGCAAAGCAAAAATCAATATAGCATGGAATATTACACAGCCAATTGTTTTATGTAGTTCAAACTTTTCAGTCAATTTCTGTTCAAAAACGTAAAAGACAGTCATCCTACTTGAAATTCCTGACTTACGCCAGTCGCTGCAGCTGGACATAAGGACTGGGAGTCGACATCCTTCTGTAACACTGGACTAAAAAGAAAAAAATATATCAGCTACATTCCATTAATTCATTATGTAAAATGAAAACAAAAAACTAAATACATTACAATAACAATATAAAAAAAGGAATGATAACATCAATGTAATTATCAAGAATAAAAACGACATCTATAACAATGATCATATAACAAAAATACAATAACAGTCGCAATACAATATTAACCATACCAAAAGCAGTACCAAAATAATCAAATTACTTGCATTAGCATCATATTGCATACAGTAATCATCTCTTTGTTATTACTATGATCATTATGTCAAATCTTAGTCTTGGTCCAAGATATATCTAGACCCAGAGGCTTTGCTTCATTGCTAAATGCATCAAAAGCCACCACTAGGGTTTCCAAAGACGACAAATTCACAGTCAGTAACCTTGATATTGCCCAGAGTTGGTCCACATAGGTTCTGGACAGTACCTCTGCCCAGTATCCAGTCCAAGCAAATGTTGAAGAGTGTTGGGGCAAGGACACAGCCTTTCCTCACTCCTGAACTAACAGGAAAGAAGCTCTACAGGCCCCAACAAACTTTACAGTACTTTCAGTACCAGTATCTAGGCTTGCTAGTAATCCAACAATCCTCATTGGAATTCCTTTCAATCTCAGGATCTCCCAGAGTGATTCCCTATGCACCGTATCAAACGCCTTCTTGAGGTCGATGTAGACTGCAAGCAGCCCAAACCTGAACTCACGGTGGTGCTCTACTATGACTCATAGCATTAGAATAGCCTTTTGATCCAGATTGCTCCAGCCTCTGGTGCCTCAGCAAGTGGTCTCTGATACGTCTCAGAAGGATATGTGCAAGAACCTTACCTGGTATACTGAGCAGTATGATGCCTCAGTAGTTGCTGCAGTCCTATCGATCCCCTTTTTCTATCCAGAGAGGGATGACCAAACCTCTCAACAGGTCAGGGGTAATGGTACCAGATTGCCTGAGGGCAGCCAGGACAGCATGCAACTCTTGCACCATGGGTTCACCACCAGCTTTTAACAGTTCAACTGGGATGCCACAAATACCTGCTGCTTTACCACTCTTCAGCTTGGAGATCGCCCCCTTAACTTCAGTTAGGGTGGGTCAATCCTCACTGATGGGTGGGTCCGTCACTGGAATCTCGACATTAACTGCATCCAAGTTACTTGTTGGTGGACCAACCTTATATAACTGCTCAAAATACTCAGCCCAACACTCCAGCACCACAACAGGATCTGAGATGATCTGAACCCCTTACTGAGTGGACGGCAGTCACCTGTGAACAGGGCTTGGAGTTCAGCTTTCTCAGGGTTTGGTAGGCAGGACAAAGGTCCTTTACTAAGAAATGGCCTTCTGCCTCCTCTACAAAACTCAGAATAAACTGTTCCTTGTCCCTTCTCAACAGTGACAAAGTCCTGCATACATGAAAACAACGCAAATCCCAACCCCTGCCAGGCAAGCCAGACAACAAGCATCTGTAGCTTCCAGCATCTCCTGCGAGATAAAATTCTGTCTTGCTCTTGGGCATTCACCAATTGATTCTTTAGCTGCATTGAGTGTTTCGAACTTACAGGTGTCCCTCAGAACTACATACCCCATAATGTGAGGGGTGGCTGGCCACAGGTCCACTAATCTACCTGCAGGAGTCCCGTGGGCTTTGCCCCACAAGCTTCATGTCAGGTTGGCGGCCACTGGGACATGGATGGGATGGGAAACTGTGGCTCCCAGTCTGAGTCCCAGTGGTCTCCATCCCAAGGGGACCCACAGCCTACCTTACTTGCTGGGTAGGAGGGATGTTTCCCCTCCCCCCAGCACCAACACCGATATGATGCACTGCCAGTTTGGGTTATCTCAGGAAGGTGAACTGGAAAGGCCAGCCTCCCCACAGCCACCCATTAACTCCAGGGGGGAAGGGGACAAGAGTTAGTAAGAAGCCAGGGCGTGTCCACACACCGGTGGGCCATGACTCTGTACCTTTAGGGCCTAATGCTTCTTCCACAGTTCAGCCTAGGACCGCAAGGTACAGAAGTCTTGATGATGGAGAGGCTATGAGGTGGCAGGAGAGTCTTATACACAGCTGCTCCCAATTCACACCAGGCTAGCTAGAGATATTATATATATATGTATATGTATACGTATATATAATATATATATATATATATATATATATATATATATATATATAATATATATACATATATGTATACATATATATATATATATATATATATATATATATATATATATATATATATACATATATATATACAAGTTTTGTACTAGGGATGTTAGATTTTGGTCCAAGTTTTGTACCAGGGATATTGAATGTTGGACAAGTTTTATACCATGGATGTTAGACGTTAGCCAAGTTTTGGGCAAGGGACATTGGCCCAAGTTTTGCACCATGGATGCTAGATGTTGGTCCTAGTTTTGTACCAGTGATGTTGGATGTTGGCCAAGTTTTGTACTAGGGGTGTTGGATGTTGGCCAAGTTTTTGTAAAGGGATGTTGGATGTTGGCCCCAAGTTTTGTACAAGGGATGGGATGTTGGCCAAGTTTTGTTGTTGGGTGTTGGCCAAGTTTTGTACCAGAGATGTTGGATGTTGGCCAAGTTTAGTACAAGGGATGTTGGATGTTGGCCAAGTTTTGTACAAGGGATGTTGGATGTTGGCCAAGTTTTAAGGGATGTTGGATGCAAGCAGAGATGTTGGATGTTGGCCAAGTTTTGTACAAGGGATGTTGGATGTTGGCCAAGTTTAGTATCAGAGATGTTGGATGTTGGCCAAGTTTGTACAAAGGGATGTTGGCCAAGTTTTGTACAAGGGATGTTGGATGTGGCCAAGTTTTTGTACAAGGGATGTTGGATGCTGGCCAAGTTTTGTGGATGTTGGATGTTGGCTAAGTTTTGTAAAGGGATGTTGGATGTTGCCAAGTTTTTGTTGGATGCTGGCAAGTTTAGTATCAGAGATATGTTGGCCAAGTTTTGTAGGGATGTTGGATGTTGGCCAAGTTTTGTACAAGGGATGTTGGATGTTGGCCAAGTTTTGTACAAGGGATGTTGGATGTTGGCCAAGTTTAGTACCAGAGATGTTGGATGTTGGCCAAGTTTTGTACCAGGGATGTTGGATGTTGGATGTTGGCCAAGTTTTGTACCAGGGATGTTGGGTGTTGGCCAAGTTTAGTATCAGAGATGTTGGATGTTGGCCAAGTTTAGTACCAGAGATGTTGGATGTTGGCCAAGTTTTGTACAAGGGATGTTGGATGTTGGCCAAGTTTTGTACAAGGGATGTTGGATGGGATGTTGGCAAGTTTTTGTAACCAGGGATGTTGGATGTTGGATGTTGGCCAAGTTTTGTACCAGGGATGTTGGGTGTTGGCCAAGTTTAGTATCAGAGATGTTGGATGTTGGCCAAGTTTTGTACCAGGGATGTTGGATGTTGGATGTTGGCCAAGTTTTGTACAGGGATGTTGGGTGTTGGCCAAGTTTAGTATCAGAGGATGTTGGAAACTGTTGGATGTTGGCCAAGTTTTTGTACAAGGGATGTTGGATGTTGGCCAAGTTTTGTACAAGGGATACAAGGGATGTTGGATGTTGGCCAAGTTTTTTGTACAAGGGATGTTTGGATGCTGGCCAAGTTTAGTATCAGAGATGTTGGATGTTGGCCAAGTTTATACAGGGATGTTGGATGTGGCCAAGTTTTGTAAGGGGATGTTGGATGCTGGGCAGTTTAAGTAATCAAGTTTAGTATGGGATGTTGGATGTTGGCCAAGTTTTGTACAAGGGATGTTGGATGCTGGCCAAGTTTAGTTACAGAGATGTTGGAATGTTGGCCAAGTTTGTACAAGGGATGTTGGATGCTGGCCAAGTTTAGTATCAGAGATGTTGGATGTTGGCCAAGTTTTGTACAAGATGTTGGAGTGGCCAAGTTGTACCAGAGATGTTGGATGTTGGCCAAGTTTTCGTACCAGGGATGTTGGATGTTGGATGTTGGCCAAGTTTTGTACCAGGGATGTTGGAAGTTTTTGTACGCAGGGATGTTGGATGTTGGAATGTTGGGCCAAGTTTTGTACCAGGGATGTTGGGATGTTGGCCAAAGTTTAGTTATCAGGATGGTGGATGTTGGCCAAGTTTTTAGTAACAAGGGATGTTGGATGTTGGCCAAGTTTTGTACAAGGGATGTTGGATGTTGGCCAAGTTTTGTTGTACCAGGGATGTTGGATGTTTGGATTTGGCCAAGTTTTGGGGATACCAAGTTTTGGAAGGGATGTTGGATGTTGGCCAAGTTTTGTACAAGGGATGTTGGATGTTGGCCAAGTTTTGTACAAGGGATGTTGGATGCTGGCCAAGTTTTAGTATCAGAGATGTTGGATGTTGGCACAAGTTTTGTACCAGGGATGTTGGATGTTGGCCAAGTTTTGTACCAGGGATGTTGGATGCTGGCCAAGTTTAGTACCAGAGATGTTGGATGTTGGCCAAGTTTTGTACCAGGGATGTTGGATGTTGGATGTTGGCCAAGTTTCGTACAGGGATGTTGGATGTTGGCCAAGTTTTGTACAAGGGATGTTGGCCAAGTTTTGTACCAGGGATGTTGGATGTTGACCAAGTTTTGTACCAGGGATGTTGCCAAGTTTTGTAACCGGATGTTAGGTATGTTGGATGTTGGATGTTGGCCAAGTTTTGTACCAGGGATGTTGGAATGGGTGTTTGGCCAAGTTTAGTACAGAGATGTGGATGTTGGCCAAGTTTAGGTACAAGGGATGTTGGATGTGGCCAAGTTTTGGCCAAGTTTTGTACAAGGGATGTTGGATGCTTCCAAGTTTTGATGTTGGATGGCCAAGTTTTGTACAGGGATGTTGGATGCTGTCCAAGTTTAGTATCAGAGATGTTGGATGTTGGCCAAGTTTTGTAGCAAGGGATGTTGGATGCCTTGGCCAAAGGGTTTTAGTACCAGAGATGTTGGATGTTGGCCAAGTTTTGTACAAGGGATGTTGGATGTTGGCCA